CACAATGGAGTTATGTGTTTATCGCCACATTTCTCGCATTTAACCCACTGACTCCTACAAAATTTAGACGTGTGGTTTCGGTACGCACATCTAAAACAACGGCCTTCTTTTGTTAATAATTTTTTTCTTAAATCTGTGGACATATTACTGTTGCAAGAATTAGAGTCATGATTTGCATCCTTACAAAATACGCACTGCCTTTTGACACCCTGTGCGCCGGTAAGTAGTCCCAGTGCCGTTCCTCTTTTTTGTTCCGCTGTTTGTTTAGTGGCATCCCTAATTCTTCTTTCATCTTTATTTTCTGACATATGAGATTTTTCTAATGCTTCTACTTCTGTTCTTATAAAGAGTAAGAGCTGCTTTAATTGCTCGTCGCCATTTGTATCTATTCCATCGCGTTTTTCAATTTTATAGAACGTAATACGTAAGTACGAAGGTATCGCTCTCAATAAAACCGATTTGACTACGATTTCGTATTTACTGGATGGAACATTTAGAATAGATAGCGTTCGCATGGTGGAATTTACATCATTATAAAGATCTCGCAAACCTTTAACATCACGCGCTGATTGAATTGATTTTAACGCCAACAGCTTTTGAATGTGTTGCTCAACAATTTTATCAGTATTGCCATACTCTTCCTGCAAAAGGGAAATGGCCTCGTTATAACATCTCTCCGTTGGAGTAAACCCCGCAATGGTATTTGCCGCGTTTTTCTCCAGCGCCTCGCTCAAGTAATTAAATTTCGCTGATGACAAACTTAAGTTTTCATGTACCGTTTCTTTAAACTGTTCCCAAAACGGTATCCATTTATCAAAACTCCCGTCAAACTTCTTCAGTGCAATCGGCTTTAATTTCACGCTTTTACTAGTAGCTCCATTGTCACTTTTAATCATTTGTACCGCATTCGCTGTCGTAATATTTTTACTTAATGCGTGCTCCAATCGTGCGACAGTGGTTACCGCCACATCATCATACTCCACCATCCGCTCGATTTCAGCCTCTGTACTATCCTTCTCGTCGTTCAACGCTAAAACTGCTTCATTAGCTAGTGTAAGGTTTTCTTTGGATGCTTTAATACGCGATACCAGCACCACGGAATTCTCGCCGCGATCTCCATTTGCCAGGAGTAGCTCTGCATCATTGCACAACTTAGCGATTTGCGTTCGGCAAACTGCCCTGCGTATTTTCTCCATATTCGATAAAGCTCCCGGGTTTCGGCACCATGAACAAAATACTTAATACTTGAACGACCGATTCTCTCGAGTTCATAGAAAAGACTACTTAGTCACTTTATTCCAGGTTCAGAAGTATTTAACATGAAATTGAATAAATGGTTTATGAATATATTTACAGTGGATATGAAAGGGAAAACTATATACATATTCATATACAACAAGGTTGCGTGTGTATATGTACTTAAGTACAAGTGTAGAAAAGAATTGAATGATAAAAATTAAAATGTAAATATAATGATAAATCGAGTTTACTAAAATTTCAATTAGACTGATAATATTTTTTACAAGCTGTTATGTATTTTCCTAAAACAATATCAACAAGTTTTAATTGCATTACATGGTATAAATTTTAGATAATGGATATTTATTATCTAAATTTTTAAGAAATTTTCTAAAATTGCATTTAAATACGTTTATATAAACTTAATTTTTGTTTTAAAACTTCAGAAAACTGAACTCTTGTAATTTTCCATTATGTTAAATATAAAGCAACTGTTAAAATTTTAAAAGCACTATTTTTATATGGGAATAAACTGGAATGGAACAGCTCAAATTATCGTAAACTAGTAGTTTTAATGTTTGCTTTCGATTCTTCTCTCGATGTATTCTCTATGGGTAAACGGATCGAAATGAATTTCGTTTTCACTACATTCTCGATAATCGGACAGATCTAAAACATCTCGATAACAAAACGGATCGAAATAACTTCCATCTGAGATACGGTTTCGCTATCGAAAGCACTACGCAAAAACTTTTGAACACGTATGACGAGAACGAGAGCTCTGCTGCCACAAACTGAGCGACAGGTAATACTTTACGATCATTTTTCGGAACCCGTTCTCAGTAGTTTTGTACGCGAAAATGTTGCTAAAATTTCTAAAACGGATGCATTCTCGTGTACGTTGGTCGGGTGGGATAATGTTATTTTTTATCATACACGAAAATTAAAAGGAAAACACTTATTGTTAGTCATATTTCCAGAAAATCGAAGAATCTCAAAGTTTTTAACCTCATCTCGAAGAAATCAATGGCAAACCCGCAGCACACAGATTTTGCCCCAAGCCCGGAGGCTCCTAGACCCGGCCATTTGGCAAGCCTAACCATGAGGTGTCTTTTTACTTTGCTTATGTATATATACTTCACAATATACATATGTATGCAAATAAGCATGTGTAAAAAATCTACGACGGAATTTTATTTTCTGCTACGATTTTCCACGTCACTTACTCCGAAGGCTTTATTAAAATTAGAAACTATGCGAATTTTTTGCCATTTTTTCGGCTTTTCATAATGTACGCGAAATTTCGAGGGTGTAGGAGTGAAACGGACTTTTCCCACCAAACCGGTAATATTGTCATCGAATCGATTTCCTATTACAAGTCGCTCTAAAACGTCCGCCGAAGGCAACTCGCCTGGGCGAGTAATTTTCTAATTACCTGAATGAGTCGTTTTCTTATCGCTTGAGGCAATATTTGAAATAATTTTATTCTTTTTAATACTTCATTTATTTTTTGTATACAAAATTGGAACTTACAATCGGAATTAATTCCTTTTCTCGCTATGGGGCTTCCTATTTTTTCAATCCTGTCCTTGGGCATAAATTAGATGCTTTTGGACAATACTGTTGACGCCATATTCATAAGCTTTGGAATTTTTGAGAACTTATATTTATTCAAAATTTACATGAACGAAGTGATGTTGCCAATTTGTCGCCACAGCAATAAATCGGTGAGCCGCCAATTTGTTGCCATTGACGATTGTTGCCTATTTCTCATGTTTTGCATGGTTTGTTTGTTTACCTGGAAATCTCATTTTAAGTATAAAACCAGCAAAAATCAATGTTTTTAATGCTGTCAAACGTCGTTTCCTTGATTAAAATAAATGGTAGCAAAGAATCCATTTTTGTAGGCTTTTGAACAAGCTCTTGGTAGGAAAGAAAGTTTTTCAGTGGTAACCCTGGCTGTGAATTTGGCCCTAACAAACAAAAATCTGGAGTATGACTGTTTGAACTGTTTGCCTTGGAGTACTCCTATTGGCCCTTAATATTTGAGCTGAAAAGATCCGTTATGAGTACGGTGACCATAAATATATTTTGAAAATGCTGGACAATTTTTCAAAAAATTTACCTAAATATAATTGCGTAGTATAAAAATAACAAAAATATACTACATATATACATTCCTCGTCATTTGAATAGCGCGCCCTTTTTTTGATTTTCTACCATACAAAGTATTCTTGACAAAATTTGTATATGGAAGAAAATGCGCAGCACCGTCAAAAAAACTGTCGCCCCTATGTTTATTTTTTGTTTTTAGTTTTCAAAACTTTTTAAAATGGGATGTAGACGTAGAATATGCTATATTTTTATAAAAAGTTAATGAATATTAAACAAACAAAAGGAAAACTGTACCTGTATTAAAAGGATGCGCTATTCAAATAACGAAGAGTGTATAATTCTTAATTATTAATCCAATTTTAAACTTTAAACATAAATCACATTTGCTTCATTGGTATTAATCTTTTAGTAATGAATATTTACAAAATTATAATAAGGCATATTACATATTACTTTACACGAAATATGAACCTCTGTAAAGCAAATTTTTTAGGCAAACTGGTCGTTGGGTCGTTGAACACGAAAAAAATACCCATGGTTTCAAAGAAGTGTTTTCGAGATTTGTTCGAAAAACGTATTTTTAGTACTTTTTCAGTTATTCCTCAATATCTCATGAAACGACCAACAGTTCGAAAGCTATTGATGGGCTCTTTGCAAAAATATATATTTTTTGAGTAGATTGTGTTCCGTAACATCTACATTTCTCATCAGATTTTCATTTACTGTAAAAAGAAAATGATTGAAATTTCAATTTTTCGATTTTGGTCGCTTGTAACACCAATAATTTTCATCGAAATCGGCAAAGTAATATATTTGTGTAAGAGGTAGCTTATGTAGATTGGATAATTTTTTCATGAGATATTGACGAATAGGTTCGAAATGTACCAAAAACACGTTTTTCGAAAAATTTACGAAAACGCTTGTTTGAAAGGAAAATTGGCTTGGATTTTTTTTTTGTTAAGCGATTACCACAAAATTTGTAGAACAGTGTTATCGATATATTTGATGCTGGTCTTCAATTTCTCGTCATCCATTGTCCATAACCGTACAATATTTAGAACGCATTGACTAGTTGAACCTTCAACACCCGCTTATCCTTATGTAGTTATCAATTAGTTAACGACACTGCTTTTATTTCGATTAGGAAAAGCTAATTTTAAAATATCGAAGAAAATGCGGGACAAAGGCAGGACAAAGGCAGGACACGTGGGAAAAATCAGTACATTTTGGGGGTTTTCTGTTTTGAAAAACTACGCAGGACAGACCTTTAAATAACAGTACGGTCCTGCAAAAAACAGAACGGATGGTCACCGTAGTTATGAGAGAACTTAAAATGATCTACGAAAAATTTGCTCGCTAAATTTTATTATGCGGCTCTGAAGGCAAAAACTATGCTTGAAGTTAGTTTATAAATAAAATTGCAACTAGTCTTCTTAATTTGTTACCAAAATATAAAAATATTTACGGTTTATTTCGTTGAAGTCCTAAAAATATAAAAAGTGTTCCACAGTGTTATTCGAGGCAGCCTTTTTGCTAAGAATTTCCTTTTGGGTGTCCTATACAACATAAACATATTTCATAGGCTTGGTCTTGCGAGTGTGTAAGTGATTTCAACAGTTTAAACTTTAAAGCATGGCAGTCGGCATTCGAGAGTAGATGATGCAAGACAAGTTTCTGTACTTCAAGTTAATCCGTTTGGTGTCTCACCAAACCAAAGCGTCTATAGAGTACATATGTATGTACATACAAAGTGATTTTGCGCGCCACTTAGAATGTTAATTTGTTGTTAGTGTTGTAAGCTTGCTGAAATTCATAGTTAAACGCTTTTTCCGAACAAACTTAGTGTAATAAAATGTTAAGCAATAACAAACAACTCGAAAGCGGCTTAATGAAGTGACAGAGTGCCTCGCGAATGGATTGTTGGATAAACGGTTATTCACTTCTTCCAAACATTTCTTTATCGCCAGTAGAATCGAACGCAGTGGTATGTTTGTACATGTGCTAAGCATGGGGAAGAATAGTATAAGTGCGTTTGAGAACACTAAATTTAAAAACCCAAGATGTGCCGGTTGTCCTCAACATGGTCTATATTTTCTAAGAAATATTAGGTGCGTTCGTTTAAAATCTCCAGTAAAAAAACATTCAACAGCAAAATTCCGGCGAAATTCTCTCACAAGAGAAAAATATCCAAAACAGTACGCGAACAGGAAATTTGCAGAAACTTGCAAGTTAGACGAACAGCTGATATAATTTTTATTTACATTCAAAAGTGCAAAATTTAAAACGTACGAAAACTTATCACAAAGTGTTATCCTGACACAGTTTATTGATTAAACAAATAACTACTTACTTCTTACAAGTTTAATTAGTCGCATTTTGTCATTTTTAACTTCCAAACCATCAAATTCAATTTTGTGATTTGCGTAAATTCCAACCAGCTGTTTTCCTGTTAGCAAAAAATTTTACCAGCAGAAACCGGCAGCTTCCTCTCAAAATTAAATGTCACTTTGCTCTCTCAAATTCCCCTACTTTGCAAGTTTTTTGCGCACGCGAACGCAAAAACCTGAAAGTTTTGGATAACTTTGAACAATTAACAGGTACACGGACGCAACTATTATCATAATAATCTCGCGGTTTCTTAACCGAATTGTCAATCGTTATGCTTCTGCCATCCAGCGTTAACAGAGAAATTTCCACGAAGCTTATTCATACATATATGCATGCATACATATTTATGTACATATGTACCCAATAAATATTTTTGTTAAATCTAAATTTGAGATGCGTTTGAGAATCAATCCTTTTCTCAATTCTCAAACTTTTGTTCTCAAATGCATCTCAAATAACCGCTGTTAGTGTTCTTTTACTTTTTTAATATGGAATTTACCTTTATATGCTAATTGAGAAATATGGAATTCTCAACTTTTTCTCAAACGTGAGTGAGGCGGAACGAAATGGAATCCAGTTACTCTCGCTGAAATATGTGTATAGTGTTGCCAATGATGTATGTAAAAGAAACACACAGTTTTTATAGAAAATGATTTTTTATTTATGCAGTTTAACAGTTTATTAAATAAGAAAGTCTAAGTTCGGGCGCTTCGATCTTGCTTTTATGTGTCAAGCACAATAACCATACTGAGTTTGGTACAAATGTATGGAACGGTTACCGAGATACATATATGTAATCATAAGTGAGCGGGGCCACGCCCATTTTCCAAAATTTTATCATACACGTATTTCTTGCTAAAGAATTATTGCAAACATCAATTTTGAATAAATTAGCTTCAGTATTTACTGATTTATTGAAGATTTCGTATTTCTCGAAATTACCGTTATATGGGATGTAGGCGTGGTTATTGTCCGATTTTAAAAATTTTCCGCCATTTGGTATATTGTATTAAGGCCAACAACTGTGTCAAGTTTGGCAGAAATTGGTGGAGGGGTTACCAAGATATACACATGTAATCATAAGTGGGCGTGGCTACGCCCATTTTCCAAAAATGTATAATATTCTTATTTTTCGTCTAAAAGTTAGTGTAAACATCAATTTTGAGTGACTAATAAAATATCGCAGTCAGTGTTGCCGCGAATAATTTTTAGTGGTAGCCAAATTCCTTTAAAAACAGGGCTAAAAAAGAGTTAAAAAAGTCGTTGTGGCTAAAAATGGTAGCTAAAATTTTTTACTTACATCTACATATATAAGTATACACGCCAATATTTTCAATAAGTAATGGTATAGAAAAACAATGAACTCAGGAAAAAAAGCTAATATTTTATCCAAACAAAAACCTTTTTGTATAAAAGGGGAAATATACGACACCAGTGATTGTACGTACCATCAGGCTCGAAGCATATAACTTACCAGCATGCTGGTACAATATTTATTTCTTTACAAATAAGGTCGAGGAAAGATCGAAATGATTAGAGCCGAAATTTCATAATTTTTCAACCATTTTGTTAAACATTGTTTTTTTCTTAGTTCACAACTGCAATATCGTGAACTTAATCTTCCTAAAACACGGCTTTGACTCATATAGTGCAAGAAATTTCCGCCCTATCCAGTAAATCCAGTACTAATTTTAGTGGTTTTTTACTGGATGTCGTTTTCGTACGCAAAAACTTGCAAGAAACTAGCAAAAGAGGGGAAATTGAGAGAGTAAAAATGACAGCTGAACTTGCAAGTATTACTGGATTTTTACTGGATAAATTTTTACTAGCAACTATTTGCTAGTAAAAAAAACAGCAGATGGCATGATGCTTAATGTAATTCACATTAACAAAATAATTGTTTGTGGTGCTTTTAGAGTTGACAAAATAAACCTATTTAAATATATAATAAGATGGAAAATACTAGTTTTCTAAGAAAATTGCTTAGGAAAATAACAAATTAATCAGCTGTTCATACAACTAGTAGCTTCTTGCTGGTTTTGCGTTTTCGTACTATCTGGCATATTTCACTCATTGGGAGTAAATATTGGCTAACTCTCCGGAATTTTGTTACTGGCAAGTTACTGGATATTTCTTGCTGGAGAATACGAAAACACAACTATACTTGTTGTATATAAATTGAGCTAATTTCACCACTCACGACATGTCGCCGCGACACCAGCATGCTGGTACAATCATAAAACTCTCAAATAGTTAGTCGCATCAGCAGCTGGTACAGTCACACCACAAGAACACACACGGCCATCGACTTGATGGGCCATTTAACAAATTAAGTATATTAAGGGCCGTCAACTTATCTATTTTAAACTAAACTTATCTATTTTAATAGTTAAATCTGTAATAGATAAGTTAACAGCCCTAATTCTTTTACAGTATGTATTAGGGATGTTGCGAATGTGGGATTTTAGACATCCGCGGATGCGAATGCGGATGTCAAATATTTTTAAGAAATAATTTTGGTTGGTACATTAGGTGATTTAGATAAATAAAAAATGGAAAAGTTGCATAATTCCTTTTTGAGGATTGCATCGGGCTGCAAATGTCGGATGTACTTCCTGACTTTGTTTAAACACCGTTGTGTTCCAATTTGGAGAACTAATTCTTTTGGCTGTTTCAGAATTTGGAGAACCTGTTACGGCATCAGCATTTTTCGATTTGAGTTTTTGTAATTCATTTTTAATCCTGTCTTCTGTGACTGGTTTGAAAAATGTGCGCTTATAGCGAGGTTGTGAATAAGTGGATATGACAAATAAATTATTATTTTCTAGGAATGAAAATTTCGAAGAAAATTCTTCTTGGAAAGGTTCGCCTGTAATGAATAGCTTGTAATTAGATTTTCCTAGTTGCATGCAGTCACAATTAATTACTCACCGCTGTCGGTACCATAAGCCATCAAATCCGTTTTGTTGTTCCATTCCATGCGCTCAATGTGTTTTGATATATTTTTTAAGGCGACATATCGAACATATCGTTAATACTATTTTAAAAGGGCGTATTTCACATTGTCGCTGAAAAGCAAAAAAACACTACTAACAAATTTTTTTTATTGGCTAAAACGATGTGGGGACTTATGATTCGATGAAATACATCATAATCAATCAAAAATTTAATTTTGGATTTTTAGTTAGTTACGGTTTTTTGTATTTCAGCGATGTTACTATACTATATGTACTAACGATATATTACATACCAAGTCCCACTCCTCAATATATAAAATTCACCTTGAATTAATTCTTATTTAATTTGTAAACTTGGCTGTCAACTTTGTTACATATCATTTTATCTTTATTTTGATGCGTGCTAATTTTGACAATTTACACAAAATTAAAATAAATATTTTGGTTTTCGAGCTGAAAGACTAATATAAGGAAACACGGAACTTAAGAATAATAACTTTTATGAGAAAAAAAATAACTACACTTTTCTAAGAAAAAGTAGAAAAAAACTAGCGATGCATCCAGTTTTTTAACAAATATTCAATAATAATAATATTTTCAATAATATTCAATAGTTACATTATTCTTACCTAATTAAACGCGCAAATAGTCGGTTTTCTTTATAGCCAGTCGTTGAACATTTCCGCTGGAAATACCTACCTATTATCTTACTCTTTGACTTTAAATTACGAAAGCATGTGCACGTAGGGGGACAGTCTTAACGTAACATCCCCACAGGCAAAAAATGTTGTTTAAAATGTATTCTTTGCCAGATATACGTTTTATCAGTGCACTTGCACAATATTCGCATTCGCAAAAGCTCCGCATTCATTATTGCTAATGCGAAAGCGAATGCGAATGTTAAAATTTATGCGGAAGTTCCGCGGTTGCGAATGCGAAATCGAATATTCGCAACAACCCTGGTATGAATGTATAAAAACGTAAGGAACATACAATACATATATGTATATATATCAGTCTTTCTTAGTTTAAAAGTTCATCTCTTACATAAATGAAAAAAAAATAAAAAATTTTATCAAATTAAGCATATACAACTCTTTAATGCCAATTATGAATAAATTCTTCAAAGGGTTAAAAAAGGGCTAGGGGCAATTTTAATTTTATGTGGCCAAAAAAAACTATGTGGTAGCTAAATTTAGCCACCAAAGGACTAAAACGGCAACACTGATCGCAGTTTTCGTATTTCCGAAAAATACCGTCATATGTTAGGTAGGCGTGGTTATTGTCCAATTTTGCCCACCTTCAATGCCATCTGTCCTACGCTCGAAAGAAATACACGTACCAAGTTTCGTTAAGATATCTAAATTTTTACTCGAGTTATCGTGCACACAGACGGATGGACGGACGGGCAGACAGTCAACGCTTAATCGATTTCTCTTTTCATTATGATCATTTATGTACGTATACATATGCGTATATCTATTTAGATTCATTTTGCATGTTACAAACAACCGTTATGTGAACAAAGTTATAAGTTGCGTTCGTGTACCTGTTCAAAGTTAACCAAAACTTTCAAGTTTTTACGTTCGCGTACGCAAAAAACTTGCAAATTAGGGGAAATTCAGAGAACAAAGTAGCA